TCGTGACTCTGAGGTCTCCTCCTCGTGTGGCCCTTCGGATGTAGATATTACTTGTCATGGAATTCATGGCTGCCGCCAACATTTACAACAGCATGCTGGTCCTATCTTTCACATACATCATCCTACCAGCGACAGTTTTTCTCCTAAAAACCACAAATGACTTTCCATTTTTGAATTATGAGCCATGTCTTAAGAGTTTTTCACTGTCTGCTCTTTTTGCTCAGTTACACCTGCTGGCTCGTCTTATCTGACATCACCGCATGTGAGTGTATTACTTGAAATAAGCTAGTAGTCGCCTAAAATTATTTAAACGACTCCTTTGAAATGTTCGGCTGTGCCGATGCATTTTTTTAATACTGTGTAAATATAGGGAGTTCAAAGGCGTTTGCCTATATTTCCTTTAATAAACTTGACTTGAATTGACTTGGCATGATCATGATGATGTTAATGTTGGCTAACTGGTAAGAAACGATCATTCCAATCTCCTCACCCTGTCCTTGCCTGCAACGTCGACTGCCTATAATGAACGCTCCCACTTGAAGGTGATAGTTTGGTCGACCCAGACGACGGGGTCCACCGAGTGCTGCAAGGAGCGAGCGCGGCACTGGTGACCTGCATGGGAATTAATTTATAGTGGGGCGGTCTTTCGCGGCATCTACCGCTGTCTCTCCGCCACTGGTGGCGAGACAGCGTCAAGACGGTCGAAGGTGGGTTTTGTTAGGAGGAGCCTAACGAACTGCTAGCAGGCAGCTAGCATACAGGTAGTGAGCCGCGCTCACGGCAGGCTATCGATCGGCCTACACGCGTCAAACGCATACGGACAGTCAATCAGTCAATAATTCAAAATTTAAGCTACAGCCAGCCACTGAGTCACAAGCCTATCGTGCCACTACCCACGCCAGGACAGAAGCTGATTGGCTCGATGTACATAGCTTACACTCCTTTGTTGCCTTAAATATTTAATGTACGCTCAAAGACTTCTGCTTTTGCCCTCTTCTTATCGTGTTCTTTCTTGGGGGCTCACACAGGCCGTAATAAGGCGGTGACATCTCGGTCTTGGTTACCGTTACAATCGATTTGATTACAGTGGCTGACAAAACTATGCAACGAGTTCACTGGTGCCAAACACGACCTGATTCCAGTACATGCATCACTGCATGACCTGAGACAAAGTAAGTATTTCCCTAGAATGCGAGGAAGGAAGCACATAGTTCTCACAAACTTTTCCAATACATGTAAACCCATTTGTATAATGCATAAGCAACATTAATAAATGAGCAGACAATTTGCCTTATGAATGCATATTTTAAGGTCGTAACCGAAAGATACCCTTCCTTTAAGCATAGCATTCGATAAAGGCATATTTTGCTACGAACCTAGTACGCTAAAGAATATTTTTGTACGTGTTTCTAGGAAATATATTTGAACTGATAATAAAAATTCATATTACATAAGTAGCCATTTTTTCAGAAGATACTTTTCGAAAGCGCCCAGGAAGAAGTGCGAGTTTAACGTGACTAAAATATATTAAGCTTGGACTAATCATTACAGCCATCATAATTAAGTTATTTAATTGAACGGAAAAAAAACATTTCCGCATTTAGACTGACATTTTATGAGATAGGGAATTGACAGTATGTGGTCTGTATGAGATCTGATAGCCCCGAATAAAACCTAACACCAGTGACATTTTGCGCCTTCGTGTGAGGTACGTGCAGACGACCGTTTATATTAGTCAGTTGCTACGCTCTTCTTCAGCTTGCGGTCGTCTTTATATTGTTTTTTTTACCGGGCCACGTGGGTTTTGCTAAGACTGAGTGAGGTGGTGGCGGCGGCAAAAGTCTAAGTAATCATGATAGTATTCGCACGCAAGTCGCAGCTACGTTCACCTTCTGGAACAGTAGTCAATCGTCAGCAACAGTCGAACCATCATTTGACGCTTCAGTAAAATTTATAGTCCGAATAAATATTCCAGAAATAATATGTTACAGAAACATAGGAAATTTAAAGATTCTTTTCCCTGGTGCAATTTTGAAGATGATAGAAACAGCAAACTTTATTGGATCCATTAATTTCGAGGACGTTCATCAGTTGCTTCCTCTCGTTGCGTAACGTGAATAACGTCAGAGAAAATACAAAATTGAATTCATTCAGAAAAATCGACACAAAACAGCAAGGTCACAGGAAACGGCCAGGAGAAAATCACTAAAGTGCGAAAGTTAAAACGCTGTCGGCAGCAAACCTGGGGAAAAAAACGTCTAAGACAAAAAGATGGGGAGGCAGCTTACATACGGCGGTTTAAACCCGACCTATGTAAAGAACGGGAGCATGTGGTGAAAATAACTCTGCTGTGGTAACACCGGCTTCCTGTCTACACATTTCTCTCCCCATCTTTTTGCGTTAGTCGATTCTCCCCAGATTTCGCTGCCCACAGCTTTTTAACTTTCTTACTTTATTGATTGCCTCTTGGCCATTTCCATGTGACCTTGCTGTTTTGTATCGATTTTTCTGTATGAATTCAATTTTGTATTTTCTCTGACTTTATTCACGTTCCGCAACGAGAGGAAGCAACTGATGAGCACTCTCGAAATTGACGGATCCAATAAATTTTGCTGTTTACACAATTTTCAAAAAACGAAACATAAGAGTTGTTGTTTCTGTTCTTTCTGCTAATTTTTCAAATTAATTGTTTATGTCTCCACTGACGAATATTTCTGTTGTCTCGTTTAACTTAGGTCGTCCACAATAAAGGCTTACGTATGTATGGGTATTCAGCAGAGCCTGTCAGATAAAACCTTAAGAACTCGTGAGGATCGCTCCTGAATACTGATCACTTGCTTCCACGCCCAACTGATGTAAAGAAAATAACACATTTAGGGCTTTAACAACTTTAAAAAAAAACAAACAGAAAATCTGAGAGACTTACATCCACCATTTCGGGATCGAGACGGTTGCGTCTCACATATTCAACCAGCTCGGGACGAGTGATGAAACCATTGTGATCAAGGTCAATTGCCTCAAATTCGGCCATTATTTTACTTCCCTCCATGTTGCGTCTCGTTAGATGCGAAATAGAAAACGGCGAAAGATGCTGACCTAGCGACTGTACTGGCCCAACTGCGAGTACGATGGCTCGACTTCTTAATTAAAACAGGAACAGCTACGACGTCTGACCAGTAAGTGGGCAGCACCACTCAGAGGGCAGGAAGCCAGTCCTTCTCATTTGCATGTAACGCACACACACATACCTCGAACCAGAGTGATCCTTGGAGGGTGTCAGTGAACTCATACGGCGGTGTCTTTTCTTGTGTACAGTTACCGCCACACTCACACAAACACACGGAGACAGAGTGAGAAAGAGAGAATGCTCAGTCGTCCATGACGTATGAGTAACCACATCGACACCTAGGTGACTGTTCTCTGGCAATACTTTGTGGTTTACAAAAGAGGAGGGGGAATTAAACTATAGCATAAATAAAAGATGGCATATTCTTTGTCCTGCATGAGGTCATCCAAAAGCAGTCGAGAGTGCTCATCAGTTGCTTTTTCTCGTTCTATAAAGTGAATAACGTAAGAGAAAATGCAAATTGAATTGATATGGAAAAATCAATACAAACAGCAAGGTCATAGGAACGGCCAATAGGCTAATCAATAACATAAGAAAGTTAAAGCGTCATATCTTATGACCTTGTTGTTTGTATTGATTTTCCTGTATGAATTCAATTTGTATTTTCTCTTATGTTTTTCACGTTATGCAATGAGAGGAAGCAACTGATGAGTACTCTCGAAATTAATGGATCCAAAATATGTTTCTGTTTTTGCTATCTTTACATTTACACCGGGAAAACGTTGCTTTAAATCCAATCACATTTTCCACGTGACACTTACTTCTACGAATATTTATCACTGTCTATCTTACTTGCCCACCCCCAAAACGTTTTCAACGACCGTGGTTCTTACGGTACGAATGGTTTGAGCAGTTTGAGAAGTCTACCAACCCCGTTGATACGGGAACATAGAGGCCTGAAATAAATAACCATTTTCTAGTTTGATATTTGTTTCATCTCTTTACCAATAAGGTCATTTAATGTTTTTTCCTGTCTCCCATAGACATTCTTTTGTTTTGAACCCCAAGAACAATTTTCAGAGTCGAAGCTTCAGTCCTGAGCTACCAACGTCGGCATCCCAGGCTATTAACGCTGAGGAGAGTTTGCACCGCCCATTTCAACCACTAGCATTATTTTGAAATTTGTACCTTTATTAAATAATGCTTCTTTGGGAGACGATGAACGCGATAAACATGTGTATAGTTCGTATGACTAATCTTAAATACATTAACGGTAAATAAATGCATAACGAGAACCATTTGAAGACGCTGTGCATGTTTGTGTTCAAAATGAACCATGGGGGTCGAGAAGATGTCACATGTCAAGGAAACTGCTACTGATTTATTCTTTGCCAAATATTTTCCTGTTCTCGTCGTTGATATCGACGGAAATGAAAAACATCACTTTTTGGTCAAGAGAGGGTCGGAGTTGATGCAAATTCATTCACAATGTTATGGTGTTTCAAGCAGTGAACGCCGTATCAAAGCGTTCAATTGCTTGAGTCCGGCTTTATCAATGCAGCGAAAACTGACAGAACTCTTTAACAGCATTAACATATTTCCTGCCTTTACGCAGTTCAGGCCTGTAGGGTGGTTTCCGTTTCGCTTTAAACCTACTGTCTGACATTATGTGGCCTGGTGCGAGCTAACTATTTATATTTTTCTGAATCGGACCTAAAACCCCGTCTTCCAAGGTACTTGGTGTATGTTGGTTCATTCGTTACAGACTGACTTCCGTACGCATTTCCACGAGGGTAGATTACTAAATGAGAAACAGAAATCGACTAAAGTTTACAATAAGCTGTCGATATATCGCGCTTTGACTTTTGTAGCGTCACGCTCTAGCTGATTTTACAAACAAGCATTTCTAAATCTATATTCTGGATATTTCGCTGGTTCGCGGATTTCTGTGGTTAAAAGACGTTTTTGGTGTAGGCTTTCTCAGTTTGGCTGGCCATTTGATTTCGTTCATATGAGCTACTGCCGAGTGACTGTATAACGGAGTAATAAAAATTCTTCAATGATATACAATATGCATACATGTGCTTATTGTATGCAAAATGTTTTAAAATACATTGTTTCAACAAAGTTTACCTACTAATGCTCAATACCTACGAGGATATAAAGGTAATATGGTGCATTACTGTGCGGAAAATGTTTAATAGAATGTAAGTGGGTCAATAAGGGTTAAGGGTAAATAGAAAAAACTATATGCAAAAATATTAAATCTAGATATCTAAATGCGTTCATCATTTCCCGAAGAAGGCGCGAAAGAAAGGGCGAGTTCATCGAACGAATGGTGTTTCTACCGGTGTTTCGGAAACTATCTCGGTTTCAACATCACAGTATTGTGGTTGCTGTACTCGGTGGTCTTGAGCTAAACGATATTGCCGCTTGTTTCCTATTATACGCGTGTTGGGCACTCTAATTCCGACGTGGCCGTTCGCAGCTGACTACTTTTGACCTCTCCGAGGTTACCCTCTGGTGAACTTGCATGACCATTGTCCCTTTTGGGATTGGCATAGTTGAAGGTAAGTCAATGTGACTGTTGGCTTACCCCAATTGGCAGACTGATCTGTCATTACTGCTCCCTTGCGTTGCTTTCCGCTTTGCGGGCATAGCTGTGAAGTTTTGTTAGATGTTGATCACCTGACCTACGGCCGCACCCCCACCCACTTTACGTGAGCATCGGTTCCCGCTTTTGTGTGCCCGTTTGGCCTACTGGTTCTGTTCAAACTGATCCGACCCTTAAACGAAGCGCCCGGTAGGCGGAATGCAAGTCCATAGGTCGGTTGAATTGGCTAGACGAGCACCAACTTAAGAGCATTAGTCTGGTCATCTTTTCATTAGCTCTGTCGGTTACTCTTACCTTTTCAGAAGCAAAGCCGTGATTAAGTTGTTATGCATGAGAAAAAAATAGCTTGCTATTACGATTGATTGCAAGCTGGTGTAAGGACAAGCTGCCGTCAGCAAATCCTACATTTCCTGCTATACGTGTCAAGGTTTATAATATAATTTGCGCGATTTAAATTCCACAGTCACTTTTTTCAGCAGATGCAAGATGGGATTAAACCATAAAAATCACGTGGCGTCACAAACATGAATGTCATTTTTGGTACTGCAGGCATAAATACTCAGATGTCCCTTCCCTCAAACATTAGGTATCAACGGCGACCTTTCTTAGGTGCAATCAACACTGCTTGTCGGAATCTGCTGTAAATTTTTCGAAATTGGCGGAAGCTGGAGTTTGCTTCGAATATGAACAAACTAAAAATGTCGCAGAGAACCCAAGTAATATTTCTGCCATCTGTTATTCAACCTCGGTGCATATTACGCTCCTGATTGTTAGCTGGCCCCTCCTGAATAGGAAGCTGTGTTCGAAAAAATGCAAATTTTATGTAAAAAATTCCAAAATCTTATTTTTCGAGAAGTGACCCAATATTGTTTACTAAATTTCTTCCCTTCTATTTGGGAAATCTTGTAATAAACACGACAAAATAGATTTTGTTCGCGGGTTGGAGAGATGTAATAAAGCACTAAGATCTTAAGTACTATATATCTAAATTTAAAAAGCGTTTCATTTTTTAACCTACAGTGCTCCCGAATGGTCTCCAGTTCGAAACGAATTTTTTCACGTTGACATTACCTGCAGACCCATGAGGTGGCAGCCACAAGTTTATACTTTTCTTTCTCGAACATATGTTGACATTGCTAGAGTTATCATATATCATTAAGTGATTGCACACTGAGGCCTTTGGGAAGTTATTGCCTATATGATGCGACAAGGACAATGGTGAAGATCAACCCTTCTGGATTCGCCTTTGGGACGACGCTAACGTCCATCTGGGTCACTTATGGGTCAGGTACTTATCGGACACACTGTTTCTACCGCGTTACCTCGGCCGATTTTTCGATGGCAGAACACAGTGTAATATTTGTTTATCAATATCGCCTACTTATATTTTAAAGGTAAGTCCTTTTTTCCAGAGCAAACTAGTCCGCGGCATTTGGTCGTAATCAGTGTCTTCCGCTCTAACAATTGGCAATGCGTTCCACAAACATGTGATGAGAATTCTAAAGGAGTACAGATCGCTAGGTTTTCTTATTTAATGAGAATTATCCGAATTTCGACGAACATATGCATGCCAACACAAACTTGCAGTTACCCGAATTATGGGAAAAGGTTTGAACACGAAGAGATTACGGATTAGACAGATAAGTGTCCTCGTTGTGCAAGCGAATGTTGACCTAAATTCTGCAGTTTGCGCATTCCTGATGAAAAAAGTGTTCTAGCATGAAATCCATACACCTAAGACCACTGTTTGTCAAATCTTGATCTCTAACATACATGGGATTGTTGTTACCGGTGTAATTAGTATATTGCATAGAGCTGGGTGAAAGAAGTCTTCAATGATCATGATTTATAAGCTGTGTACGAGGAGCAATGCTCTCGTTATCGCATACTTTTTAAAGAAGACTCACGTCTTCGCGCTCAATACTTGTTTCTTGGTGAAAAAGTCTACAATGACCAATACGGTATCCAATAGTATGGTGTCACCCACCCGGGGTCGGTGACAAGACCGAAGACGCAGTATCTGACAA